GTAAGCTGGTGATGTGCTGGTTTGTAAATTTTTGGTGATGTGCTGGGAAAAAGTAGGCTGGTGTAGCACACGGTGTGTAATTTTTTGGTAATGTGCTGGGAAGAAGTAGGCTGTTTAGTCCTCTCTGTGGTGTATGTAAAATCCAGTCATCTATGATATTTGAATCCCACTTATTTCAATTTCAATCCATACATTGCAATGCTCGAAGATATAGATGTTTTGTAGTCAATCCATCCATCACATGTATAATCTTGGTCAATAACAAAGTTTATAAATTTAGACAACAATAAAACTACATCGTTTCGAGTACAAAGTGCTAGGACAGTAGCTTATTGACGACAATTAGATACAAACACTACAATTCTAATACTTATAGCCCTATGGAATTGGTAAAGTGAAAATGGCTTCAGCTGAAATGGGATCACAATGATGCTCTAAATGGTGCTGAGGAGCTAGCTAAACCTCGGGTGCACAATCGGGGATATCACTTTGCCTCGGTATCAGAGTCTTTCCTTTTGCAGTAGTCGATCGTGCCTGCATTCACACCGTTACGATTATAAATTATTGTAAACCAAAAAGTGAGTACTAGAGTATGATAGAATAATATACCTTTGATTTCTTCGCATAAGCCTCCAACGAGCCTTTTCTCCTTTTTGTCTTAGGTGCTCCCTTTGTCTTCGATGCTTTCGGATCCCTTGCAATCCCGCTTCCTGTATCTTTTTCTGGAGTTCAACGTGAAATATTATTACTACCAGCATTGAACATTGTCGAATTAAGTTCTTTCTTCTGAAGTCTTATCCAATCCATGATAGCACCATACCTCCCTTCGTCATCTGCTGCAAGGTCTGCCACCTCCGCGAATTCATGACACATATCGTCGTACCTCATTTGTGCTGGTGTACTAACCAAACCATCATAGTTAATGGCAACCCTCGTGTGTGCTCTGTTCACATCTTTTTTCCATTTCCTCAATATATACCGATCCGCATTACAGTTACATCATTACGTACAAAAATCGCGATCGCATGCCTACATATTATTCCTCAAAAGTCAAACAAGTGACAACTACAAATTACTTTACAATTGTCCCTATCAAACCACACCATAAACATTGTTTTCTTTCGTCACTCGCCACATACTATGTCCTCACGTAGCTCATACCTCGTCCCCATATGTCCCTCTGTTGCAGATATGAGCTCGCAATACATCATCCCTGTAAACTCAGATTGTACTTCTCTGAACTTAGAAATGGTATAGCATGCTTGAAATTGCTTTTCCATTTCGTATGTTGTAGCACACGGTAAGATTTGAGAGAATGACTTGAAATCAGATTGAAATTCCTTTTCAAATTTATTCCACAGTGCCCGTTCGTACTGTTCGACGAACTGTTTCAACGATGTCTTCGAATGTACATAACCATCGAAGAAGGCGTTCATACTTTCACTTCATTGTGTTGTCGACATACCAGCCCAGAAACTTGTTTTCAGGAAACAGGGCACCCAACGAACTCTGGTTTCATACAACCCCGACAACCAAGCATTTTGATGCAACTGATACGTTTCTATCATATCTTCCCAACCTTTCTCGAATTGTTCAACAGACTATGAATTATACACCAGTACATGTATAGCCGAAAATATCGAAGCTTTATTGACATGGTATCCAAATTTTTCTGGTAGCTTCTTCATAATATGCCACAAACACCATCTATGCTTCGTGTTTGGAAAAACTATTTGAATTGCATTTTGCATGGCTCTATCTTGATCGGTAATAATTCTATGCGGAGCTTGGCCACGCATGCACTGCAGCCATGTCCTAAACAACCAGACAAATGTATCCGTGTCCTCATTCGATACCAACCCACAACCTAACAATGTTGATTGCCCGTGATGATTAACTCCAACGAAAGGGGCAAATGGAATGTCATACTTATTAGTCAGGTAGGTTGTGTCGAATGTCATGACGTCCCCGAACTCCTTATATGCTTGCCTAACCGCGAATCATCATCTAAGTCAATACTAAAGTAAAAACCCGAGCACCGTGCTTGCATTTCAGAAAAGTAAGACTGTATTGCAGCTGCATCACCCTCACCAAGTCTTAGTCGTCTCACTTGTTCAATATAGTTATGATAATCCTTTTCAACGCACGTCATATTCTCGTAGCCACCTGATTCAACAACTGCAGAGTTGAAACTTTTATGCAACGGTATTCCCGCTATATCATTCACTTCGAGCCTCCATTTCACATGTGCACTCAACACGCTGTTGCATCGATACAACCTCGACTTACTAGGACTTGTCTTATGATTGTGGTCAAGGTGGACATTATTTATTTTCCAATAACCATGAATATCTAAAGATGCAGATATTCTAGCTTTACAGCCCGTCTGGATTGTTGCTTGCGGCTTCAAACAAGTGCTTGTATTGCCCTTTTTTTGTCCCTCGCGACTACATGTGAACGTGACATATCTCAAAACACCATCATCACCCTTCATCGAACTCCTCTTCCTAACTGAAAAACCTACGTCATAAGCGTATTTCGCATAAAAATCAAACACTTCTTTCTCATCCTTGAATTGCATACCAACCTTAGGCACAGTCAAGCCATTTTCTCCTTCCGTTTCACCTTCCACGACATTCACATTGTCCTCAACGTTATCATTTCAGAAATCAACGAACAATTCATTTTCCATATTCTTTTCTCCTACAACAGTGCCCAATAAATCACAGGCTTCACAGGAATTGCTTCAATAGAGCCTTGAAAAACAAAGCCTCTTTCATTATAGAATAACAATTAAAAACTTCAACCATTTCTGATGGAATCACACAGTATTACTTGCATTACTCTTACAGCTATATGGAACTAACAATCAAACTCACTTCAACAAATGACAAACTGAAAAAACCACACATGACTGTCAACACTTGACAAAGTGAAAAATCAACAGCAGACCTAAACATTTTCGTCTATCTGAAAAATTGGCAGCATACCTAAACATTTCATAGCTTCAATTTCGTGGAATATACCTTACGGAGGATGAATAGACTGCCGGATACTGAGATCACACTTCACTGTCGAAGCTGCACACCTACACGATTATCAGAGGCCAAAAATTCAGACATCGACGATATTGCTGGGTTTCTTGCCTCAGCATACCCGAACATTTGATAACTACAATTTCACGGCAGGTACCTTACGGAGGATGAACGGACACATCAAGGAACTGTCGGAGGCTTGGATTGGACTTGACTGTTGAAGCGGCTGGGATTATCAGAGACGGAGATCAGACTTCTTGCTGTGTTTCTCGCTTTTCTTCTACAAGATAAAAGTGTGGGTGTGTAAAATCCGACGAGATTCGCGATATTTTTCTTCCTCACGAAATGAGCTTCGCGCTTGAAGATTATAGATCTTTTCATTGATTTACCTCCAGTCGTGCTTTGGCGCCCAAATTTTCATTTACCACTGTTAGCAAATCCCAGCCGTCCGTTGCCTTCTAATCCTAGCCGTCCACGTCACTTTGTAAGCCCACTTTGTCATCCCTCTTTGTAGGAGTAGCATTACTCCTCCCATATTTCCATGTCATGAACGAAAATAATATCAGCTAATAATTGAAAACCGAAAACGAAAATGCTAGTCACATGCAATACGTGAAACGATGTACACAGAATGTTCCCTAAGTTTGTTTAGTGCTTAATGTTATTCTTGATATTTGAAAATTCGAGAATTACATTTAAACTATCATTCCCGACGTTTATAAAATGTCGAGAATGACATGACAGGATTTACTTCAACATATGCATTCATCATCTTCTTCAACTTCAACCACCATTTTTGAAAAGAATTAATTCCATCATTAATGACATTCTCAATTCAGAAATACCTAAAATTATTGTCTACCTAAGTTATTGAAGAATGTTGTTACAACAAATATCTACTACGTGTTTGGATAATCCAATTCAATGAAAGTAAATATATAACAACTACTAAACCCTAAACTTATCAATAAAAATAAGATTTCCAAAAAAAAAAAAAACATTCTACTAAGAAAAAATGAGGGATCGAATCAACTTCAAATTTGGACGAAAAGAAATTTGTTGACTATGAAATCTAATTAAACTTTCAAAGTTGGAACCATATACTTCTTTGTTTCTTCAATTTTCGTACAATAATTGGTTAATATCTAATTAAAAATGTAAGTAAATGAACTCATCTTGGTAATAGCTACTAGTATGGTAGCTTCTCATGGAAGTCACTTGCTCTTCTCGAAATATGTGCCAAATTGAGAAAAAATTAAGATTGAGGAATCATTTCATTAAAGGTAAAATAGACAATTTGGTATCAAATTTGGCAATTTTTGCAAGAATTATAAGAAAATGACATTTTTCAATTGACACCCATAAAATTGGATATTTTTGAAAACATCTCTATTTTTAATGGTCCTTATCGAGAAAAATGTGCGTCATGATGGGTCTAAAGGAAGAATTATTATGCAAGTACATGAAAAAACATAATTATTGGCCGCACATGTATGGCTGCTTTTATTTTTTGTATTTTTGTGATCTTCCAATGATAATTTACCAAGTGTCAATTTGTATGATTTCCATGAAAAATTTTATGTACCAATAACATAGTTGTTAAAGGAAGCCTATACGAGTAGTTGACCCTATTAAACCTATGTTTGGCCTCTATTTTTTCAAAACTCATTTTTAATCACACATTGTCTCTAATATAATTTAACGCGTAAATCGAAAATTTCTTTTTATTTTTTAACCACACAAAAAAATCACTATTCCAAAATATATTTTCTTACCAAAATGGGGCTCAAAGGCTAAATTTACACCTCTAATGTAATGTGAGAAAATAGCAGATACAATCATCCATGGACGATAATCAATTATTAGCTTCTTTATTAATGATCTCCAAGCCAGGATACATATTACTTGTACACACTCAATTTCTCCATTTTTGGATACTGTTCACTGCAGATCTTTTACAACCTTTTAATCATACAAAAGGCTGTTCAATTGGTCCCAGTCCCACAAGGGTACATTGCCAATAGCCGTAATATCATCCCAGTTGTTAACAGAATTAGCAGCATGGTCTTCTGAGGATGAAATGTTATATGAAAAAATATCTGATACTGCATTGTGGTTTTGTTCAGATGTTGTTGCCTCGTTATTGTGATCATGCTGGTGGTGCATCACGGGCTGAACACCTTCTGCCTCCTGCGATGGTCGCCTGTCAAACGACCTTATGCATTTTGAGTTTTTGTAGAGTCGGCATAAACTGAATTCTTCAATTATCTGCATGAAGAACAAAAACAAAGGAGTAGAAGACAATACAAACACAGAGTTGAGACTCCGAGTTCCATATGAAAGGTTAATTTTATGGACCTTGCTCCATCTATATCAACTATTACATAATTGACAACATAATGTTACGTGACACTTTATCATTCGACAATTTAAAACACAATCAACTTTTTCATCCAATCATTTCACTACACATCATTTTCTACACACTTTCTAGATGTACTCTTTTGGACAAATAGCATAATCCTAATTTTGTTAAAAGAAGTAATTCAGACCTTTACATGTTGTATTTCATATTCATTTTATGTCAATTTATTCTTGACGTGCACACGGGAGAACTAGTTGATGTACAAAGAAACCATATCTAATACATGATCTATATATATGGAAATAAAAGAAAACAAAAAACCCTACACATATAGGGAGTAATTTAGGGGTTTTGTCCCTAACATGTATAGCTATATTATACGAGTTCTCGAGATTTGCTGATTTTAATGTATATTGATAAAAATGGATTCTTTCCTCTTGACATTCTTTTCTGAAGCACTTAGTTCATTGAACATGCATGGTTGTGTCCCAGAAAGGAAGTTATCAAATACTTGTTGAACCATAAGTTTAAGCTTCGTTTGGGAAGAATTTATAAACGGTTTAATCTATAAAATAAATAGAAATAAGCGATGTATAAATGGATATTATTTGTGGATCCATCGAAATATGTGATTGAAAATGAAATTTAACCATTTGTAAATAAATCATTTATAAATTAGTGATCAAAGTTATCATTTATTTACTCTCTACTTGGAGTTTTCAATACACAATTTACACTCATTTTCATAGTTTTGCTAGTAAAATTATCAATTTCAGTTTAAGATTTAACTTTGAAGCCGTGATTCATCCTAAATCCTTAGCGCTTGTTTGGGATAGCTTAAGAGTTGCTAAAAATTGAGATTAAAATCAACAATTAATTTTAATCAAACATTTCATGGAATTCACAATTTTTTCAACTACAAATATTTCACAAACTTTTAATAAAACCTACTAAAACTTTTATAAAAAATTTTGTCTAACAACACCTTAATATATTTCAATGTTTTATTAGAAGCAAGGTATCTAGTACATATATTTCAATTTTTTATTTGAAGAAAAGAATATGTATTTTGGAAGTGAAACACCCACCTGCATAGATGATGAAGCTTCACCTAATTCAATGGCTTTATACTCATTCATCTTCCATGAAGTCTTTCTTCCATTAGGAGCTCTTCCTTCGTAGAAAACCATTGTTCTCTTCCTACCAATAACAACTCCATTTGACGAGTACACGTCCCCCGGTGAGCCGGTGGCTTTCCAATATCCTTCCGTAGTAAGCCGATTAGGTTTTCCTCCTCGTGCTTCCCTTTCTTGCTTTGGTAAGAAGAAAAACCACTGCTCAGGGTCTCCTCGACAAAGCTCTCCAGCATATTCTATGTATTTTCCAAAAACCAACAATTAGAAAGAAGACAAATCATGCAAAAACAAGAGAAAAAACTGAATATGCATTAATTACGTGGGAGATCCCATGGACTGTAATCATAAATGTGAACAACTGGTATAACCCTGTCCAGTTCTTGCCCTTTGCCTTGTATCTTACTAAGCAGATAGAAAGAAATCACTTCTTCTTCTGTAGGATAAAACCTAAAACCTGGTAGAAGAATATCACTCATATTATTGAAATTTTACTACTACTACTACTACTACTACTACTCTCCCTGATCTCTCCCTATATATATAAGATTATATAGCTTTCTTCTTTTTATCTCATTCCATGCTGATTCCTAGTGATAAACGCAGAAACCTAGTGAATGGTCAGGAAATGTATTTAAAGAAAGATTCTGTGCAAGGGTTTGCAATGAGAGGACATTATTAAAGGAGGAGACAACCGAGTGAAATGATAAAAAGTGAGGGGGACAGGATTTGTCCACGTTCGTTCTTGGAAACTTACACTTGAATACCAGGAAATTGAATCCAACCCTAATTTTCTCTGTATGATAAAAGCATTTTCACGAGATTCTCTATTTTTAAAGAGCATATTTTACAATTTAGAGAGTATCTATAAATTTAAATTAAAAACTTAAAGTATTCCATTGAAAATTAAAATACTTTGAATGCATATAATTATAGAGAGTGAGTTTTCTCTTCAAATTGAAGAATCAAACTTACTCTCTAAATTAAAATGTTAATTTAAAGAGTCTTTTGAAACATAATTTTAAGTGTCGACTCTTTAAAATAGAGAACATTTTTTTATTTAAAAAGTCTATTAAAAATGCTCCAATGTGTAATGTCCAGTATTTTGTTCATGATTCCACCATAAATTTGTAGACTAGAGTTGCAACTAATTAAGCATTGGTCGAACTCCATCGACTGCCTAACAAATTTGTAGGCTAGAGTTTTTTTTTTTTTTTTTTAAAGGAAGAAGGGCGGTACCTTCGAGAATTTATTAATATGTTTTCATTTGTGACGGAGGAATATCGCGGTTACAATTGAAATGAAACAAAGCTATAACTGAGGAAATACTACTTCCCTTACAGTAGAAATAAAGTAAAGCAGTAAAAAAGGAAATAATATTTCCCTTACAACAAAACCTCATTACAACTACTGAAAACGGAAACAAGGCAAGTTACAACTAATTAAGCATTGAAGAAACCAAGATGAAATTTTCGCTCTTCAATCAGTCATTTCCATTCAAATTACAACCAGATTAATTTTTAGGCTATAATTGCAAGTACTTTCGTTTGTTCACGTAGCTTTTCATCAATTTTTCCAAGAATTCTCTTCAAAACTATTATGATAGATCAATTTAATTAGGGTAGTTAGAAGTCCACTTCGTCAACGGAAATTCATTTGATTCCAAGTTTTTAAATAACAAATGTGTTACAGTCAATTAGACTCCGTGTATTTTTTACCTATTGGAGAATCATATTAAATTATTTATATTAGTCAACTTCTATGTCCACATGTAGTTCGTTAATGACCATATAAATTGAGTAGGAAGTTTCAAGGTAATAGAAGTTTTGGTTACTATTAGGCCCTATTCTTTCAAAACTCTTTTTTTATATACTCATTTTCAATCAGGGGAGGACGTAGAGCATTAAAGTTAGGGGGGCACAATCGAACTTGTAAAAACATTGGGAGAAATTTTACAATCAAAAATTTACATTCAAAAAAATCATACCTAGAACGAATGGATATGAAATGCGATTAAATGGAACGAAAGTGAAATTTTGCATCCGAAAATTTACATAAAATATATCTTTTTCGGATGTAAAATTTCGAAAATTTTTGATTTTATATTCCATACAAAATTTCCTAATAAAATTATGAAAATTATATTGAGAAATTTTTATCACAAAAATAATAAATGTTAATGAAATAATTGAATTTTTTTAAAAAAAATGCGAGTTAGACTTCTTTCTTTAAGACTTACGTTTAAAGTATTTTTAACTATTTTCGATATCTGTTTGAACTATTTGATATGCCCATAATGTAGTTCTCGAAATAAGTTTTGAAAT